TAATTAGTAATATAGTGTAAACAGTCAGTCAGTAGTCAATCAGGCAGGAAGGCAGATACACTTTACATTATTTTTTGATGTTTACTAATGAGTAGTATTCACAAAAATATGATCAAATTTTTAATATATATATATATATATATATATGCTGCCGACGATTCCAAAAATAACTAGGATGAAACAGCAGCTGTCCAGTACTCCCTGGTTTTCAATGGTTCTCTAACTGATATCAGTCCGTAATCAACTCGTAAAAACATAACAAACCCTTACAAACCAAACTATAGAAAATTAATCTGATGCTCGCTAGTGATTTGCTACAGGATGGAGTTTCCTGGAGTTCTAGTGAGAAGTCGTGAACAGTGAGGTGCAGTTAGATGTCGCGTGTGTGGATGGATGTCCCACCAACGACAATGGTTGGGTCGCGCTATATCGTGAATTGGCAGAAGTTAGAATTCATGGGCCATTGGATCGGGTCCCAGTGGCTTAATGGTATACGAGCTCGACTTGTAACCAGAAGGTCCTGGGTTCGAACCCCGGTGGGTGCGTACTGATGAAGAGTCCCAAACGAGGACGAAACAGCTGTCCAGTACTCCCAGGTTTTCCAATGGTTCTCTAACCAATGTCAGCTCATGATCAATCAAATCCCTACAAACCAATACTTGAAAAACAGAGAAATATGTGTGATAATAAAAGTGGTGAACGAAAACATAATGGTTACACACAAAAATATATCAGAGCAGTATATAAAAGACTTAGAGAACAAATAATTATGATATTACGTGATAAAATTTGTAAGGAAATTAGGTAAACCCCGAGTCTGAATGAAGATATAATAAAGCTAAAGAAGGGTTGGCAAACAGCTAGAAAATGAAACTCTGAAGAGAGTCAGTCACGCTTCTATGAATATCTTTTGTTTTTCTTAAATAATGAGGATTTTCAAATTGACAGTATAGGTAAAATTAGTTAGCCCTTCTCTGGTCAACGGAAGAAAATAATAACTGTGATATCTTTTTGCAAATACTTAATCTAAGAGTATTAGTTTGAATGTCAGTAGTCTCAGCCACATGCGGTGCGAGAATGTGAAGTGAAGTGAAGAAGTGGTTCATTGGATACTATCAGTCACCTTAAATGCTTCCGTTTTGTCCACCGTGTGACTACTATGAAATAAATAGAGCTTAGGATACTCCTTGATGAACTGAATGGAGTTTCAACATAGAACTTTGCACAGAAGCTCAAGTTCTCACAATCCACATAGCACACAACGGTAGACAAAATAGAGAATAAAGAGGGATTCAAAAGAACTACACTAAACCAAAATGTACAGGAGAAAGAATGGTAACCGGGAAGAACATTATGGTTTGACAGATATGGGAGATCACAAAGAGTGAATGCATCTCCGTTATTAAGACAGATTTTGAGCCACATCATCAGTAGTCTCCAACCATTGGTTCTTAGCATCCCGAGGACCCCAACCAGACAGTATTCACCTCCCTACATGGCTGGCTCAAACCAGCTGTCGAAGATTTCCCAGATTGACCACCCCTAACTATTTCCCAGCCTGGTCTTATGTCGGCTAACATTGCTCAACGAGGAACGTGATGGTCCGGTATATGCAATATGCGCCCTAGCCATCTCAATCGATGCAGTTCCACAACCACATCGATTGACTTGCCCTTCTTGTCTAACCTCATTATTACTTAAAATATTATACCACTTAACATAGGAGATAAAATACCAACAATATACTTCAAGTTAACAAGACTAACTCTTGATAACAAGCGAATCCCCTAGACTTTGAAGTTAACTACGTCCAATTCCGTCAGTACATCTGTGATGAAAGTAAACAAAAACGGGGGCAGTGGACATCACTGACGGTCACCACTCGTTGCTACCATTTCAGATGACAAAGCTCTTACACAGCTTCGTGAGTTCGAGTAGAATTCCTTGATTAGTGAGATATACTTTCTTGGAACTCCCTTCACAGGTAAACATTGCCATAGCACCTCTAGATCGATAGAGTCGATAGCACTTATTCATCCTTTATCCAGCCACGATGGAAGATTTTCTGTGACATGTTGGTTAAACTGTCTAATAATTCAGCCAGTATAACTGTCATCATAGGATCGGTTGAATTAAGAGAAATGCAGTTGGCTGTGACAGAACTAACCAGCTTATCCTTAGTTTGAATGACTGCAATTCGTCCACCAAAAAACGATAGGCGAAATTCGACCCATGGAATGTCCACCGAATAGTTCTTGCCAGTCAGTAGAAAGCAATTCCCACTGCTTACATAGACTACATATTGTTTTCATCATCCAGTTATGTCTGAGAATCACACACGTTATTATTATTATTATTACACCACACCGTTAAGTTGTAACTTGAAAAAGATACTTTCTTCCACACGAGATGCTCACATCCTGTTGAGCCTGCCTAATGGTTTTCGTATTTATCTATTGCTGATAGTTGGGGCCCTTGGTGTGGTATGTACTACTGACAAGATTTATAAGTAGCATATAGATGCATATATATGTCAGAGTCAAGAGTGTCAAATAGTGGGGAGATGGCATTGATGAATGATGTTTGTGAAACAACATGTAAAACACTTACAGTCATCCCTTATTTGGACAGAGAACACCCAACTGATTATAAAACCTCTCCTCCTCCTCGTTATATACTTTTAATCCTCTTTCTACCAATCTTATCAAGAACAGAATCTAGGCACTGTGGTAGAGTATTCTACTAGAGAATGTTTCGACGCTTATTGAACAACTCTTAAAAAATCTAAAAAAAACCAACACTTTCCTAGAGCAACTTTGTAAAGAGAAAGAGTACTATTACAGTCTTTACTTGCTAAACATCTGTGCCACTGAAAACGATGTTGAGCCATTAGTTGTTACCATAGTGACCGCCTCAGCTAGGTATAGTGTACATCTCCCTAAATGGCTCGCTTAATCAAATAGTCAATGACTTCATGGATTGGTGCCATGTCCTGGTATGACTACCTTAAACTCTTTTCCAAAAATGATAACTACATTGAAACTGGCAACTTTGCTTGAGAGAAAAAAACAACAACAACAACATCAACAGCAGACAGGAGCGCACCTTTACTTGTACCATTCACATGCCAATGTAGACATAGACTCTTCACCCCCCCCCGAAAGTTATATTACGTCATATTACGACTGAATGAAACATACTGAAATCGTTAGTGATAAAAGTCTATTGACTAATATACTCAACTAATTGAAGTAACAAAAAAAATCTATTGAAAATTCGTCGAGCAGATCTGATGTAAAAATTAATATAGAAAAACAAATACGAAAGCAATATATACTACTTGATATATAAAGGTGTATCCATTCAAGTTGTTACATATTTATTGAAAGAATAGTATATTAAGAAATCCATAGTATATGGAAGAGAAGACACCCCCGCACACACACACACACACACACGGGAAAGGCAGGATAAAACGGAAGAGATAGGAAAATCAACGTCAATATTTCTGATCGGATGAACCCAATTATATATGGCTGTTAAAAAGCTAGAAGATTTGATAATTTTCAAGCTATCACCATGTAGCCTTGTATAGTCACTTTGAAACACGATATTATCCTTCTGTATGGGTCAGAAACTTGACGTCGGTGTCACGAAAAGCATTTCCGACAGCCAGCTGCAGACTTTTATCAACAGCTAACTTCGCTGGCTCCATACTAAAGACCAGATAGCTAGTCAGAAAGAAGTATCAACAAGAAACTCTAGGAACGAACCAACCAACAACCTATTACTCAGTAAATATCCCGAATATAATAGAGATGGGTCAGACATACGCTGAGGAGACTGTCGAATCACACTGCGTGCTAGGTCTCAGCTCAAGTGGAACCCGGACGGGAAATGACGAGTTGGGTGTCCGATTGTGATATGGAGGGGATCGTGCGGCGATGGGACTATACATTATTGGGAATCTCGAGGCCAGCTGAGTAGGACTATAGAGAACTCGTAACCTAGTGTAATAATAATATATAATGATAGTCAGTAGTACTCACCAATCAGAGTGAGATGATCTAAACACTGGACTGCTTAGAATCGAAACACTCGCCTAGAATCGGGCTAATCAGCCCAAAGAGATGTTCTCCGATATCTGACCAGCTACCTGGACGAATTTGTAATTCGGAATGTATTTCTTTTTTGATCAGTCATACAACTATTGCAGGACAAACATGATTACTGAAATATGCATTAACTGATCACTAAACATTAAACAACACTTATTATATTATGTGCACCGGTCATTCAGTGCTCGCCAACTAAGCTACATGTGGTCTGAGGTTCGATCTCCGACGCACTCCTTACTAAACTGGTAGTGAGATGTGAGGCTAGCAATCTAATCCCGTGAAAATAAAACCTATGCTACTGAAACTCAAAGCTGAAGCTTGAGGCCGTATGTTCCACTAAGTACTCAAAGGAATAAAATAAATAAACAAAATAATAAAATATCATATTATGGTTCTATAAAACCTTTCAAATGCTTAATTCTGTGTATGTTCAAATGAAAATAAGTCACACCAGAAATGATAAATAGGGGATTTTATTCATCATATAATTTTTAGGATATCCAATGAAAGAAGACGTATATCAGTGTAAAGTCCGCTAACCTATTTCTGTGTTTTTCTTTTTTTCTTCTGTGTTCCCAGTGGAACATATGGCTTAAACTAGAGTTCTGAAGTTTCGGTGGGAGTGGTGTTCTGTTTTTTTTTAAGGGAGTGGGGTTCCTAGCCTCACGCCGAACTTTCCTTTTTTGTCAGGTTGACAACTGACTGAGGGAAGTAAAGGTATTCACCAGTTGGGAACCGAAACCCGGACCACGGGCGTGGCTGGCTAGCATCTTACCGCTGAACCTCCAACGCTAACCACTTTACTAACATATATACATATATATAATACACACAAGCACAAACACGCACACAACATGTACATATTAGGTAAACAGCTCTTACATTTTTATCCATTCCCATTTCAGATGAATTTGTTGATACTTGAGCATATTCCAACTTGTATGATGTGATACGTGAACCATTGTCAATACCAGGTCCCCATTTTATGTGTAGAGAATTACGTGTCTGACATATTATTTGTATGGTACGTGGTGGATTTGGTTTAGATGGTAATGTAACAAAATGTGCAATTGGACTGAAATCTCCACGTATTCCAGCATAATTACAACATACTCTGTGAAAAATAAAGAAAAACAGAAAGGTGAAAAAAAGAAAAACAAACAAATAACAAGTAGTAGAGAGATTATGAAAGCTTTTTTTATAAGTAATATAATTTTAAGCAAAGTACAATCTTCAATTGACTTAGTAATAGCAATAAGATGGTACTTCACTCTGTTTTATGCAACTAAAGAGTTGTGCTTAGTGTAGAAGTCATTACACGTATATAATCAAATGGAATTTATCTTGCCAGTGGCTGGACAAGTGAGTAATAGGCCACCCTTAGGGTCCTCCAATGGCTGAATGTTCTGCGAGCTTGCCTTGTAAAAGGAAGGTTCTGGATCTGACCCTCAGGGGAAGAGCATTCGACTGCAAGTCGAGAGGTCTCCGGTTCACGACCAGGTGTCCCCTTTACTTCTGTGCGTCAGTAGTTCAATGGTAGAACATTCGTCAACCATGTACGTGATCCAGGGTTCGATTCCCAGTCGACGCACTCTTAAACCTCATCTGGTCGGTGGTAAGACCGGTAAAAGAGGGAAGTTTGGACAGGAGGCTAGAAACCACACCCGTAAAAGACAACACCACTTCAAAGTTGAGACCTGAAGCCCTTATCCCCTGGGAACGCAAAGGAATAAAATAATACTTACTGATCATAGTTATTAAAACATGTAACTTAATCAGGCATTACTTATGTAGCATAGAATAAACCACTGTTTAGACATCTATTAAAAATACTAACTAGCAATTAGTATGTATAAGTGGGACAGAGTTTGGCTATAATTGATTATTAAAGTCTGATAATAAATTAAACTATATAATCTGTCAAAATGTTGATTCCCTCAGTGAGTTACAGTGGTTCAACACATAAGTGAACACACACACACACATATATATTGCGATTAGAACTCAACACCTAGTCGTCTCCATGCCGATTTGCTTACAAAAACTTATAAAGAAACTCTAGACAAGTAAAAGTTATTCTGATTTATTATTGTGTATTCGGTTGTTGTTTAAATCTGCAGAAAGAAAAATGATCGGTTTAGACAGAGTGTAAGATCAAATTCATTATTTGCACCTACTTAAATCAATCAGTAGTATATTACCAACCAGCATGGATAAGAGTGTATGTTGGTATATTGAAAAGCTTGTAATAGCAGTTACACATAGTTTGATTTACTTTCATTAGATGACTCACACACACACGCACACGCACACAACTTTATTTCACATGGAATAAGTCAGTATGATGTGTTTCCTGTCAAAGTGAAACACTAGTTCATAGGTCAAGATGATGCGTTCACACACCATGGTTGCATTATTATTCATTTTTGAGATTAACAATGTTTACCGAAGAGATGTATGAGATTATGATGGTGTTTTAGTTGTTTGTTGCTAAATTTCAGCCTGTATAACATAATATTATCAGCATAAATTAACAACAGAAGCAAACTACACAAGGCTTCTAATAGCCTAGTTTGCAAAGTCAATCTTTCTGTGATGATTGAACTTTGACCCTGTTTTTTTATTTCATCTCATGTTTTTTATAGATTGCTAAGTTGCGTATGTGTCTGTGTGACTTAACTAGTTTAGAAAATCAAAACAAATGATTCAGCGAAGAGACTCTTTTCAACGAATTTATCATCAAGCTGTACACTCGTATATATATGGTTTTTAAGAAGTTATATCCGGTAAGGGAATTGAATCATAGGTGTGAATGCATAAAATAATAATAATAATATGAAATGCAATTAAAACTAAAATGTTTGTGATTATAATCGTAGTTAAATGTCAAGTGGCAAAGGAAATTGATGTCATATATAGAATAATTCATAGGATGGATAGAACTTGAAAAAGGGTGTGCAATTATAAGATTAAAATGAAAACGTTACGTAATATTGTGTGAAATTTAATAGCATAGAATTTAATGTTGCATAAAGGAATTGATTTAGAATGACAAGTGGAACAAGTGAAATAATACCGGGGACAGTTAAAAGTGAGAGTAGTAATAGTAACAATTGACGTAATAAGGAAGAGTATACAAAGTGAATAGACAAAAATGAAAAGATGAAAAAATGAAAAAATTGGTAGAGCTAAAATATGATTGAGGATTACCATACTTTAGCATACAGGGATTAAGACCATGAAAGTTAATATTACTGTGTAACACTGTGTGATTTATCAAAATAAAATCTTATCCATAATGGAGTTACACTCTACCACAGTGCCCAAGTTTTATACTTATATCAATTATACGAAAGTTGGAGGGGTTGAACGAACTTTTTCTGTACACAGAGATCTGGCTTTTCTGTTTCGATAGCCAAAGCTTCAGAAATACAGATGAGTCGGGTACGTAGGGATTTGGGTAAATTACTCTTTGCCTTGTAGATGACTTTAAAGGCGGAGGCTATAGAGATAGGGTGATCATTATCGACCAGATTTTCAATGATCGCGCTTCTTATTGCTCCACTTCCACCTTTTCGTAACCATGCAGGATAGTGTTTATGCACCCTCTTGGACAAAACTCGAGTCGAACGACCGATATACTTAGCTCCACACTAGCAGGTGAATTGATAAACACACATAGAGTTGGTCAACAGTGGGATCTTGTCCTTCAGGTTATTGAACAGTAATGGTCGACTAGAAAAGGCTATTCTCAGGGATGCAGCAGGGAATGTTCTTTTCAGGGACTGTGATATCCTTCGTTTCATGATATCGGAAGCTAAATCCCCTTTGAATTCCAAGCTCATGTAAATTATTTTCTTTGGTACGGTTGATAAGTCACTTTTTTAGGATTTGAATGTATATTTTTATCTATAAAACGTGGTGGAAATCCATTTTCTATTAGGATTTTCCTCAAGATGTATAACTCATCTTCCACAGTATCAGGGCTACATATGCGCCGAATACGAGTGGCAAGCGACCGGATCAGGTTTCGTTTTCGACCAATCGGTAGAAATTTGTCAGTTGACCATTCCATGACAGCTTACGATAAATCGATAACTAGTTGGCTTAATGACTGAAGATCTTTATCATTATCAACCATTACCATAATTTCAAGTTTGATCACGGATTGATATCAATTGGAGCACCACTGGAAACTAGCAGGGAGTACTGAACAGCTGTTTCATCCTAGTTTGGGGACTCATAGGGAGTATTCATCAACTGAGGTTCGAACTAACTTTGGAAAACCAATTTGATGCGTGCTAGGGACTCGCTACAGGACGAATTTGCCTGGAGTTCTAGTGAAAAGTCGTTACCAGTAGGGTTCACCCAGTTGGAAGCGACGACAATGACATAGGCTGGTGTTAGTTGCGCCAAAATCACGATTTGGTGGAAGTTACAGTTCATGGGCTGGTAAGTGGGTCGGATCCCAGTGGCTGAATGGTCTACGAGCTGGCCTTGTCACCGGAAGGTCCTGGGTTCGAATCCCTATAGTAGGTACGTACTGCTAAGGAGTTCCGAAACCAGGACGCAACAACTGTCCAGTACTCCATGGTGGTTTCCAGTGGTTCTCTAACTGATATCAATCCGCGGTCAAACTTGAAGCAAATCAAATCCCTACAAAGTAACTGTTGAAAATTACGATTATGAATGATGTCTTTCTTTTAGAACAGATTTTTCATGTATCAGGATATGAACTACACTGATTGTGTGAGGGCTGATGATGGCCATCCAGTTGCCCAGGTTTAAGTGGGTGATGTAGGTATCGAACCTCGCACCTATCAGCTGGAAGTCAAGTTTTTCAACTTAGTCAAAATAATCTAACGTATAAATGCTTCTATTGAGGGATCAGATGAAAAAAGCGATGTTGCATAAATATCCACGTATTTCGCTTAGTTCTGTAAAACAATGTTATAAAAGAAGAGGCGTTCAGAGAAGAGTTATGCATTTCAGCGATATCATTCTAAAGTTGCTCCACAATCATATAAATATATACTCCACTTGCATAGGAATAAAAGGAATGTTTCCAAAGATGTGTCGTTAAAATTAATTTTTCGATAAGAGTACCGCAATACAGACAGCATTAATCAAGTAGAAACTAAAATAATATTCAATGAGTAAGTTGAGTGACTGATTGAGTACAGCTCAAATAAAAATGAAAGTGTTGTGTAAAGACCAATGACATAAGGAGCAGAAACGTAGTAGTAATACTCAACTATAGATAATCTCCTCCGATGACTCTAAGGTGTGTGAAGGAAAAGTTCTCGTTTCGGGGATCTTAATGTACACTGCCAGCTGATTTCTTCCTGGTTTTTCATCTACAGGAGAATACAAGTTTTAAGCAGCATCCGGTTAACTTTGTTTTCACAAATCTTTCATCAAATTGTTTGTAATAAGCACACTATTTAGTAATTCAACAGTTTCCATGTGAGTTCTAAGTTCAGAAGTGGTGCTTTTAATTCCTTATCTTGCTGTAAATGTGTGACACTTGAGCGTCCATTTCGCATCTCACTAGTCGCCAAGTTGGTCAAACTCTCCAGTAGTTACTATTGTGAAACTATGACCCGCTTGTAGTTGAATCTGGTAGTCTAGTTAGCAAAGTGATGGATCGGACATCTGTTCGCTACACTTTCTATTTTCCGACTTCATAGCTTTCTTAACTACTTGCTAAATTAATAAGTAACATCTACCGGGTTGTAGAAACAATTTACTACTAACTAAGTATTCAAGCATTTGTGATGTAATACTTTCCTGTTGTTTTGCGACTGTTGCTGATTCCATAACAGTACACCACAATTAGCATCAGTATGGTGTCATTGATTTTAGTGACAACATTACACACCTGATTGGTAAACTTCGACGACCAAATTTAAGACTAGATGGCTAAACCGATAACCCTCCGGCAGCTATTTTGTATAGATTTAGATGTATTCATGAAGTTATATAATGATGAAGCGGTAAGAACCATCCATTTTAGTTGAAAATAACAATACACAATAAGTAATCCATTGTAAGTTTCTGCATGAGGTCATGTGAAAATTTATTTTACAAAGGCTAATAGCACCCAAACACAAGCATACAAGAGGAACTATTTTGAATTTATTGCATGATGAAATCCAAAAAAAAAACAACGACTGGAATTCAGAAGAACAAATGATGCTAAAGAAAAAAATATGTGATTCAGGGTTCAATCAGTCCCTTGAATTCAATAATCTAATCGCTAAAATGAACAACTAAATCAAGTTTTTGTAAAATACGTAATCCAAAGTGAAACGGTGCCTTGGATTTTTTTGGTGAAAATTTCCAATATATATAGTCGAGTTGATTATTAAGACACAGTGACAAATATTACTTGGTTGATAGTGGCTAACAGTAACATCCACGCTGCTATGAAGTCGTGCTATCTGGGATTTATCAGTCGGATGTATCTTCACATCCATGAGTGACTATGTTCCTGCTGGGACTCACCACACACACACCATTCATCATTTCAAATGTGAAGGCGATTTCCAGTAGGCCACTGGATCACGAGCATTACTTCTTATGAAACGGGTATCATTTGTTAATTCTTTACATTATTTTGCATTTCTGGTTGATTAATTTATATCGGACTCGGTTTCTGTTTGAAATGATGGGTTCAAAGTTCGAGTCTTTGAGGGGAACATCATCACTCACTGGTGTACAGGTGCCGCTAATTGACAACTCCAAGATAGAAGGAAACGTGTGTCGTGGTTTCTACTGCTAGTCACCAGCCCCAAAGACGTATTCATAGAGTCCACAATAGAAGTCGACATGTTAACAATGACAGACCACTTTGGTTGATTACTACGTTACATTTACATAGTTACCTAAAACTCTTATTTCTGTGGAATATCTTGCCAAAAAGTTGCAAAAAACTATTGCAATTATTTGCCTTTGAAACACTGAATCTTTGGATATAAAACTGTTGACAGATAATACCTATAACTACCTATTTGCCACTCTGTGCTTGTTTAACACTAACTTATATCTAGAATTGTATATATATTGATGGATTTACATGTTCAAGTTGGCTCAAGTCAGTGAGTCTATGATTTTGGTATCATTTTGGTTAACTGTACTTGACTGTGATATTATTATTGTTGTTGTCGCTTGTTACCCTTCTTGTTGTGAATTATTTTCCTGTGCTGGTGTTGTTCTGATTGTTTTATTCCTTGTTTTCCTGGTTTTAAGGGGAGCAACCCACAAGGTCGCTTCTCTCTAAACTATATTTTAATGTAACAATCCCCTTCTCAGGCGTGAGGCTAGCAACCCCATCCTGTAAACAAAGCTGCTACAGAAACTTCAGCACGATGAATCTCCTTGCGCCAAAAGAAAATCAATCAATGGGGAATTCTTAAATATTTTCAGCAAACATGGTAGCTCTTATACATCTACTTCAAAGAACGGTTCAAGAGGACATTTTCATCAGTTGTTAAGTAATTTTTCACTTGGAGGCAGACAAAGACGATATAATTTGAAATTGTACAACTAACACTAATCCACATAAACGGTCTTATAATTATTCTATTTCATTCTTCGAGCAAAATTTTCATCAAATCAAAAAACAAAGTAGAGAATACAACAAAAAGAATAACGCCACTAGGAGTCAAATTTCTACTAATCAAAATTAAATTAAAATGCATATAACAAAATTAGGCGTTTATAAACAAACAGCCCTAACTGTTAAACTGGCAATTGCTTAACAGTATCTTAAATTTCAATCGAGATTTAAAACCTTTCAAAATATTATTTTACACACCCCGCGGTTTCCTTTAGCCTGAGTACTATTTTTTTAAGTAAGCAACAACATTTACAGGCGAAACAGTCTGTTGTAACTTGTTGTTCCAACTCGGATACAAAATGCTGAACTGGCGTTTGCCGAATTATATCACTCTTTTGGTACAGGAAAGATATTCTGCTCTTTATCAAAGAACGCATGCACTGCACAAAGGTTCTTTCAGCCAGCCTTTGTGCCTGTAAGACATGGCCATCGAAGGCAGAGGATATGAAAAGGCCAGTTGTATTTAGCCTTATGTGTTTGCGTCCTACCTTGCATGATGGGCGATTTATTATGGTGGAGTAAGATGCAGAAGCGGGATCTATTGAGATGACTAGAACACATATTACGAATGACAAATCATCGCTCGTCTCACAAATCGATGTTACTTAAGATAGGATTAGGTTGTAAAGGGGTTGAGGTGGTCAAATCAAAACATGCCAGCATAAATTCATGAAATATATCTGACTGTTGATTTGTTCCAGCCATTTAGGGAGGTGTACTCTACCACCTGGGGCTGTGGTCCTCGAGACTCTAAGAATTAATGACTGCAGACTTTTGATGAAACAACTGAAAATTGATTTCAGCGGGGCAGATGCATTTGGCCTTCATGAACTCCCAAACCCATTACATTCTTGCTCAAGTAAATTTTCGTTTACCTTCCATTTTTCCTTCACCTTTATATTTTTCTTTATAAAGTGTATCGAGTTGAACTGTAACTTTTTTTAATGCAAAGTTTTACGTTATCAACTTTGGTCAGTCTTTCTACTAAACATAAAAAGGATTTAATTTCATGCGTGTTAGCAAAACATTCCATGTGTTCAAAGGTTTTCTAAATATCCTTTTTTAGAGAAAAAAATTTATTCCTCGATACCGATTAACACAAAACCTTTTTATTAATACATTAGTTTGTTTACTAAATATACCACATACTGTGATGAAATAGTATTGTTTACTAGATATATAGAACAACATACTTTACTACTACTACTAGAGTGATCATGTTTCACAGACACACACAAATTCCAATGCACTAATCTCTCTGTTTACGAATATACACTTTGTAGGGTGGATAAAAGGATTAATCGAGAGAAAATCATGTCATCACAAGGGAGAACAAAAATAAACATGTAAATATCAATTTTAATACTTACTTTACACAATAATTTGTTCCAGGTCGGAGGTCTTGTAGTGATATGAAAGTGGCTTCTCCACTAGTAAAAATTATAGCATAAAGAAAAGAGAATTATTCGACAATAATATACTGACAGTGAGGACAACTCATAAACAACATTGATAAGTGTGCTAGCATTTAGTATTAATTAAATTCAATAAAAATTATTTATTATTTATTTCTAATTCAATTTTGATTTCCCCGTTGATTGGTTGGAACGAAATGTTCGACCTCTGTCGGCATGTCAGATCCTTGTGAGGATGCGGATGCTGACACAAGGAGCCGACATGTCTAACAGAGGCCAAACATTTCGTCCCAATCAATCAACGGGAAAACAGAAATCGGATTAAAAATAGATAATAAGTGACATCTGATGCACAAGAGGTGGCTCTTAGGGACCAAGTGGTTTGTCTAGTGGATAACGCTGTGCCGTTTGAAACCATGGGTACTGGATTCGAGCCCCAGTGTGGACAACACCATCACTCTCTGGGGAATGTAGGTACATCCAACAAGTTACATATAATCTTCATGTTGACAGTTAGTAGTCTGAAGATCGTAGCTTATCTGAGTTTCAAGCCTATTACAATAATCAGGAAGTAGTAGAGGGATTGAATCGCACCTAGCTATACAACTTAGGTTGACCTTGTGACGACATTATGACATACGAATCAGATACGTTATTTCATGAATACTTATAAAATCTTTTCAACTAAATTACCTTCATCACCTATTAGTGTATGCTTAAGCTCATTATTGCTCACTGTTTGGTTTTTAGTACAGCACAAGCAATACTGAAATTGCTCTAGAGCCGGATTCGAATTCTGCCAATTCACGACATAGCGCGACCATTTCGCAATGTCTTCTTCGATGAGTTACTGCCTCATCTTCAACCTGCTGGTCACGGCTTCCCACTAGAACCCCAGGTTAACTGGCTGAATAGGGCCAGTCACTAGTGAGCATCAGATTAATTTTCAAGTATCGGTTTTGTAGGGATTTGTTTGGTAGCAGGTTGAAGATGAGGCAGTAACTCATAGAAGAAGACATTGCGAAATGGTCGCGCTATGTCGTGAATTGGCAGAAGTTAGAATTCAAGGACCATTGGATGGGTCCAGTGACCCGGTGAGTGCGTACTGATGAAGAGTCCCAAACTAGGATGAAACAGCTGTCCAGTACTCCCAGGTTTTCCAGTTGTTCTCTAACTGATGTCAGCTCATGATGAAATCCTCCATGCAATCAAACAAAATCCCTACAAAACCAATACTTGAAAATCAATACTGAAAACATGCAGGAGTATCTAAACAGTACGACATTGAAACATCCAACTGCCAAGTTTTAAATGAGATGGAATCAAGCCTGTTTATGATACCCGATTGTTAATAACGCCATTGTTCATTACTATCCCTGTACAGTTGAGAAAAGCTATCCAACTTCATGGGTTTCTCCGTAACGAAGAAAATTCAATACCGAGTCATGGTAGAACACAGTAAGTAATAGTGCCATGAACACATTTTTTAAAATTCTAGCTTGATTCCACACCGTATTTTTGGCACAAGCATGGCATTTTCAGCATGTGATATCGATGGCCCAAATTTCGCAGGCCGACCATTGATATCAGGTGTGCATCGGCAGGGGATCGAACCCCGGACCATGTGCATGGCCGGTGAGAGTCCTAACCACTGTGCCACCGACTATAAAGATCCAGTAGAGAACGTGAATAGTCATACTGGAGATTATTGGTGGTCATGATAGCTTAAAGGTAAAATTTCTTACTTCGCTACAGAATATAAGATTCTTCTAGGTTACTGATTCACTTATTTAGTTAACAGGTATGAAGCTTAAGTACAACAAAACTTTATACCAGTTGTCTCCGAAAGGAATATTTCAGGTTAATAGCGATAAAATACAGTAAAAATCGTAGAAACACCTTTGCATTTTATAGCCAAGAAACATGAGAAAAGGGTTCTATTAGGCATTTCAACAAACAAGAAAAAAAACAATAAAAAGGCGTCATTTATTTGCGCCACCTTTTTACTGTTTCGTCAGAAAAGTAATTCGTGAATAAGCTTTACCTAAAGTGACATGCAGAGAGAGAGAGAGAGAATAAACATCTGAATTTATTCATGTCAAGAAATCAGTACTGCATTATAGCAGGCATAGAATAACAGGTTAAACAGAAGCAGAGACAGACATAAATGAATGTCAGTCGCAATGGTATAGGTTATTTATTTCCTTACTAGCTTTGAGCACTACAATAATTTTCATTTGGGGTATGGTGGTGAATACTCAGAGTTCACTTCATCATGTGGCCGAAGACAGGTTAACATCAAAAGCTGTGTCAATAGAGCCTAAAGAGCTTGAAGAGCAACAAGACAATCAGAATAACTTTTATTTTTATGTATGCTAACTTCCCGCGTATCTTGTCAGCTTTAACACATTATTTTATTGCTATTAATTGCATTTCTTTCGCCGTGATATTTTCATGAAATATGCATAACAAGTATGAAAAGTTAAGAATAAATTATCTCTGTTCCGAAATAAATAGCTCATAACATTTACTCTCCTTTTGTTTTGGACATTAGCACTTCACTAACGGGGATAGACTTCGCATATATACTAAACACATTATGAGATACACATATTATTTGAGGACTGACGGCTAATCTGATTAGTGCCGATCAGCAACTGGAACCAATGATCCACTGCCTGAAAGTCAACTTCTTTAGCCAATAAACCACACACCATTTTTTAGTAGACATTATGCTATGGTAAGGAATCATGCTCTTGTTCAAGTTAAGTAAGATTTTAAATCGCATCATCCTGGAGAGAATAAAACATGCACTGGATGCAAAACTCCTACCGGAACAAACTGGATTCAGGGGAAGAAAATCATATGCGGATTAAATCGCGACTCTACGCATCACCACCATCGACAGCAGAGAATGACAGTCAACTCTCTACCACAACTTCATCGACTTTGAAAAAGTCTTCAACAGCGTTGACCGCGAAGTAGTTTGGAAACTACTTCAACACTACGGAGTGCAGTGCCCCAAACCTCCATCAAACTCATTCAACGGATATATGACAATGCCATGTGTCAGGTGATCCACAACGAGAAGCTCAGAGTAGCCTTCGTACTGAATACAGCAGTGAGATAAAGCTGCCTATTATCACCAATGATATTCCTAATTATGGTGGATAGCATTATGCGGAAGATCACAAGGTAGGAGAAGACAGGAATACGTTGGACCGATAAGAAGAATCTAAAAGATCAGGCATGCCCCACGGATGACGACGTCAAAACCAGAACCGCAAAAAGGCAAGGCAGATATTCATCACACTGCAATCAGTTTGGAAATCTTTTGCACTCAGCACTGTATAGAACGAAATTCGGATTTTCAACACCAATGTTAAGTCAGTCACTTCTTCTATATGGGTCCGAAACTTCACCAGAGCGTCACGAAACGCATTTTCAACAGGCTATGGCAGACTTTTATCAACAGCTGACTTCGACGCATATTGAAGATTAATTGGCCAGAAAGAATTATCATCAACGAGAAACTCGGGGAACGAATCAATCATCAATCCCATTGATCAGCAAATATTCCGAAGAAAATGAAAATGGATCGGACACTCACTGAGGAGACGGTTGGTTTATATCGCGCACCAGGCCCTCACTCGAGTGAGACTCGAATTGGAAACGACAAGTTGGGCGTGGTTCCGAGGGGGAGATCAAGTGAGGAGGAGATTTGAGATTATGGGTAGCCGTGAGGCCAGCTAATAAGGACTACAGAGGACAGGATGAGATGGAGATGTGCTGTTGAAGTTCTGTGTTACACTCAGTGTTTATTTTTACAGGATGGGGTTGCTAGCCTCATGCCCAACCTTTCCTCTTCACCAGCTTTTAGTTCTGGCTTAGCGAGGTAAAGGAGTGCGCCGGCCGGGGATCGAACCCCGGACCATGTGCATGGTCGGCGAGCGTCCTAACCACTATGCCACCGACGCACCCACTCAGAACTCAAGGGAATAATAATAATATTATAATATGGTATTTGGAAAAATGGTTGCCTACTTCTAGTTGCAACATCACTACTAACTGAGATGTAAGTACATGCAGTACTCAGCATAAACAACAAAATTCGAGTCTTCAACATCAACATTAAGTCAGGTATTTCTTCTATATGGGTCAGAAAGTTGGCCAGCGCGTCATAGAAAGCATTTCCAAAAGGCTATAGCATTGCTTATACACTGTTAGTCGCCATCAAGATATATATAGCTGTATAAACAGTTGTATTTCTACACCAGCAAATAATTTAACATGAATGAAGTATTAAAAAAAATAATACATTTTGCTATTGATTTCCTCTTTTGCTAGTTGTTTTGATAAACTTTTCATAATTCAGGTGAGATGATCGATTAAATTATCAAACTCTATCAGTATATCGTTATAAACAAAATTATGAATTGTAATAAACTATCTTCCTTTCTTTCTCTTTTTTTTATCTCTTTCTACTGCAGTAACATTGATACACCGTAAACAACTCACACAATAATAATAATAACAGCTACAACAACAAGAGACTTCTAATCACTATATTCCATTGTATTACAATTAGGCAAGCAGGAGATTTACAGGCAAAAATCAATAAGTTGACGGAAGAAGCAGAGGAAGACAGGACTTCAAGTGAACGTAGAGAAGATGAATGCGATGAAGATCCCTAATCACCACCACCACCACCACCACCAACAACAACAACAACAGCAAGCATCGATCATCATCAAAGAGAGAAATCTAAAGTAAGTCATACGCTGCACTTATGTAGACAGAGTCGTTTCAACTACAGGCAGCACGGATAAGGATATCAAAGGCAGGATTGGACAAGGAAGACGGACCTTTGCTCCTCTGAAATCAATGTGGAAATCTACTGCACTCAGCAAAAGGAGGAATAAGATCCCAACTTTCAAAATTAATGTCAAGTAGATCAGAGCTTCTATATGGTTCAGACACTTGGCAGTAGCGTCATAGAAACCATTTCTAATAGGGAACGGCAGATTTTTATCAACAGCTGATCTCGATCCATGTTGAAGATCAATTGGCCAGAAAGAATTAGCAACAAAAAGAAACTCCAGGAACGAATCACTCATAAACCCTATTAGATCAGCAAATATTCTGAAGAAAACATAGATGGATTGGACACACACACTGAGGAGATCGTTGAAAGACATCGCATACCAGATCAACTCTTAAGTGGAAGCCAAGCGGGAAACACTGCGTTACGAGTATGTCCGAGGCTGATATGGAAAAGGTGATGAAAGCTTTTGGGCGATCGTGTGGCCAGCTGTTGGATAAGCTTTCTATGACGCGCTGGCCATGTCTCCCTCTGACCCATATAGAAGAAGTGACTGACTTAAAATTGATGTTGAAAATCCGAATTTTGCTGTTTATGTTGAGTTCAGTCTCAGTTCAGTTCAATCTTATTTCAGAATGATGAAGATCTGTCATGCCTTTCCAATCCTGGCTGGTTTTGACATCATCATCATCCATGGGGCGTATATTTGAGATGACGCTTCCTAGATAAGTGAAGGCGGTGGACCTCTTTCAAATTCCTCCGTTGATAATGAATGACTGATGCTTGTTGTTATTTGATTGGTTGGTTGTCTTCATCTTCATCATTTTATGGGAGCATGAAGTGAACTCAGTGTGCATGAATTTATTATTATTATGATTGTTTCCTTTATTTCCTAGAGGAGCATAGGGTTTCAGCCGCACGTCTCCATTGAGTTCGGTTCTCTGCCAACGTTTTCACCTGGCTCCATGTCTGCCACCAAGGTTTCATCTCCTCTTCACATGACCTCCTCCAAGTCAACCTTGCACTGACGACCAACTCGTCGCTTCCCGTTCGGGTTTCACTCGAGCGATGGCTTGTCTAGTTATGTCATTTGATGGTTTCCTCAGAGTATGGCCAATCCATCTCCATTTCTTCCTGCCTATTTGTTTCACAATCGGTTCCTGGTTGGTTCGCTCCCAGAGATCCCTGTTGCTGATCTTTTCTGGCTGGCTATCTGATCTTGAGTATTGAGCGAAGACAACTGTTAATGAAGGTCTGTAGTTTGTTTGAGATGCTCTTTATGACGCGCAGTGCAAGTCTCTGATCCGTATAGTAACTGGCACTGACTTCACATTGGAGTTGAAAATCCGGATCTTATTTTTGATGCTGAGTGCTGTTGACCTCCACACAGACTTGAGAGTAGTGAAAGCTTGTCTTGCTTTTCCGATTCTTGCTTTGATATCCTCGTCAGTTCCGTCTGCCTGTAGTTGAGACGATGCTTCCCAGATAGGTAGGTAAAAGAGGTTGTTTCTTTCAGGTTCCTTCCATTTATGCTGATTGTTGTCTGTTGTTGTTGTTGTTGTTGTCCAGGAATCTTCATCACCTCTGTTTTCTCTATGTTCACCTGAAGTCCTATCTTCTCTGGATGCTTCTTCTGCCAACTTGTTGCTTTTCGCTTGCATATCCTCCAGTTTGTCGGAAATCAGACATATATCATCGGCAAAGACCAGATCCTCCAAGTTTTTTGTGTGGGTCCATTTTATGCCTGTTTCCTCATTGCCCGCTGTTTGTCACATTATCCATTATTTCGTTTCACCTGAATTTACCTTAATATTCATTGATTAAAGAAATAGGAGAATAGAACAGAATAGAATTGGAGTCAAAGACAACAGTGACAAGTGTAAACTTACATAAAAACGCATTTGAACTGGGGTGTACTGCATCTTTCAGTTAGGTGTAATTCGAACTGTATAGCATCCAAGTCAATTGTAATCTGATGTTGACTATTATTATCAATACCGTTAGTATTCGAAGTGACTGTATTACTGTTGGCTTTCGATTCATGATTACCATTACCATTGTAACACTCATCAGTATTATCATTATTATTATTATTATTATTATTAGTATTACTACTACTAATACCATTATTTAACTCGGACTTCGATGAATTCATTTTTGTTGTTGTAGTCATTTTCGGTGTTGGAGGTGACGATACTGATGCTTTGTACTTGTGACGTGGACTTTTTACAGGTGAATTTATTGGCTTACAGGACTTAGTAGTATTAGTAGTATGAGTATTGTTTTCTGTAGGAAATGTTCGGGATTGTAATGAGGATAATGAGGAATAATCAGTGGGTACAGTCGAGGCTGCTGTTGTCGTTGATGATGAAATCTCTGAGTTAGTTGTAGTTATTGTTGTTGATGTTGTTGTTGATGATGACGTTGATGACAATAAGGTTGTTGTTTCTGTTTCTGCTTTTCCAATAGATGAATGAATTAAATCTTGGGGGAATGACAGCTGAATTAATGCACTATGAGATTTAACTTCTGTAACCTGAATATAGAAGAAGAAAATGAGAGAGAAAGACATTGACAATTATACAGGTTTATAGGAAATGTATACACTGCTTCCTGACATTTCACAGCTTTGTAAGAAGGAGCATGATGTTATCAGTATATTGCTTGAGAAAATAAATGCTACTTAAAAACTATATACACATTAATTCATTGGCTAGTTGATAACAGCTACTGTATCTGATTGCTCAAATCTCACTATATGACGTAGATTTCCAATCTAGAGTCCATTTATTGAATATGATCTACAAATTTAAACACTGAGCAGATTATAGCCCTGAGAAATTGTCACTTGCTTTCTTGGTTCATTTTATCTACTCAAGAAGTTAAATGAAATTTTAATATGTAAGCGGATAAACAATCGGTTATCCTTTGATTAGAGAGACTAACTAATGTCATGTATCTAGACCTTTGTTTATAGCAAACTGAATTCTAGTATTGGTTCAACCCGTTGTATTGAGCATAGGTAACCAGAAGGTCCTGGGTTCGAACCCCGGTGGGTGCGTACTGATGAAGAGTCCCAAACTAGGACGAAACAGCTGTCCAGTACTCCCAGTTGGCTTTCCAATGGTTCTCTAACTAATGTCAGCTCATGATGAAATCCTGTAACCAAACTGAATTCTACCAGTCAAGTTTGCAATGTCACCACCGTGCTAGTTGGCTCGGCATCACGGTGCATTTTGAATTCTCGTTATTAGATGGTTGGATTAACCTTTATCCGTAATATGGTTATCGATGACCAGTTTGGAAATTAACCAATCAGAATTGACCTCTGTGAAATAACGCCCACTATTTCTGAGCTGAGAAGGAATAAATATTAGTGCAGAATAACACGGATCCATTTTATTTATGTTATTCATTTATTTCCTAGAAACTTCTCTCCAATAAGATATACATATTTACACTCCAGTTACCTTGTCATCCTGATGTTTCATCTCACCATGACACTCTTATAATATGCTTGTTGATAGACAAAAGTATGCTAAATTTTACACTGACTTTTATTCATCAAAGAGTATAGGTTGTATGCAGTTGATGAGTACCAACAAAATAAAATGGACCCATGTTATCCTGCACTAATATTTGTTCTTTCTCTGCTCAAATTTGTAAAAGGGAATTCTTGTATGACAGCCCATTATTTTATCGATCATGATTACAGACTAATTGACATATCCTTGTTGATGTATATGATACTTTACTGCGCGAAATAGACTTTTTGGCTTACATCGTTTTGTGTGGTCTCGCTTAAGCAGTAGTGCTGGCTGAGGAAATGTCACATAAGGCTGTTGGCTCAGCCAAGCGGTATATTCATGATCAGCGCGTTTATGTCCAACTCAAAGTATTGCGAAAAATATAACAGATTTACTTGATTTTGGCTTAGCATTTGTGAAATTCAAAGTGAATTTCGAAGTAGTTTGCAGCAAACAAACTGAAGTATGATATTGACAATAAAACCAAGTAGGTTGGTAAAACTCATATTTACACGTAAGTTAGCAGGTTAATACATGAAACCCATACAGTTAAATTTCGTAGGATTCTTGAAGACAAACATAGAAGATGAGAATGGGAAAATAAAGTATGCGTAAATCTGCACCATTAAGACCAATATTTTCATGTTGTATTGTCCAAAAACACCAACATCCGTATCAGACAGGCAAACTATACTCTCAAACACGTCTCCACACCAATAGCCAGAGAATTCACTAGTTAGTACGACATCGTAATCTAGTGAAACATCGTATTTATCCCCTTTAATCCGAAGTCTGCGAAAACAGAGTTTTCGGCTAGACAGTAGCTAAGTGTTTTGAGCACATGTTCTAGTCGCTGCAATTGATGAAGGCTTATAATTTCATTGTCTAGTGGCGAATCTATCAAAAGCCGTTTATGATGAGTAAATACCTGTAATCCCTCCTCTCAAACTATCTATCGACGTTACATGGTGATGTTTTACTAGCATATTGTAGAATACACATTTTGAGCGCGAAGTGATTCAAATTATGCCTGATAATCAAAGGAAGTAATACATTTATATATATAAATTGTATAATAACTATTATCTTCCCAGACTTACTTGTGGTGCTAAAAGATTAGATAATAGATTATGAATAATTTTATCTTGAGTGCTCCAAGCAGTATTTGTTGCAGTTGAATTGAAATCATCATCATCTCCTCCGATGTTATTATTATTATTAGCAGTAGTATTAGTAGTACTAATAACAACAGCATCATTATCTATTGCTATTGAACCATTTACGCCAACTGTATCACCATTTAGACAAGCATCAAACGATTCAGTGGATTGTTGATGTAAATGATGAGGATGAGGATGTGCATGGTGATGGTGATCATCATGATGGTGATGATCGTAGCATTGTGAATTTAAAATGCAATCAGGCTGTGGACAGTAAGCCGACGGTGATTGAACTGTAGGCAATAATATATTTACTGGAAGATGTGCACATGTGGATAGATGTGCTATACCGCCTTTCTCAATCTCTGCTTCAGAGTCCATGTCCAATTCTTGTGCTGCCGTTCCAACACCACCAGTAATAACAGGACCACGATGATACGTGTGTTGAGAATGTTGACTTGGATACGGCTGATGATGATAAGATGGTGATGGATAGTGCTGTTGGTAATGATTTGTATGATTATTGTTGTTATTATTACTATTATTATTATTAATGCTACCGTTTTGTAGACCGTCGGGATGTTGTTGATGATGATGATAATAATCTGAATTCGATTTAGAAGTAATAAAGGATGATTGATTCCATACTGAATTTTGTAGTGATTTATTATTACCAAAGTTAACCGGCCGATTGTATGAGCGAAAATTTGGATAATCTAAACGAATGAATAAAGTGACAAAAATAGTAACAATAATCACTTGTCTGTCTGTATGTGTGTCTGTATTTGCACACGTGATCACTACAAAATTATAATCACCTAAAAAGATAACGACAACCGCTGGTGGACACATTGGACAACTTCAAAAGGTGAATACCTATCCCAACACGCATACGACAGTTATCTGCCCGCTTTAGTCAATGCGTTATTCTCTTATTATTTTCCTGTGTATCAGTGTCCAGCCGTCAAAATATAGGAAGTTTCTTTGGTGATCCAGTTAAATGTTACACATCTCCACTACGGGAATTACTAAGTGTTTGTTCTCTAGGTCACAACGTTTGTTCGTGTACAGGCTTAATGACATCATTCAGCAATGACCGATGACTGCAAACTGAATGGAGAGGTGAAGAAGAGTTCAAAGTTATGTGACTGACTGATTGTCTAACAGTTGGATATTTCATCCAATGAATTGTATACCTACACACAGAACATACTTTAGGCATACGAAAAAAAACACAAACGTCAGAAGTTGGACATGATGTGTTCTGCATAGAAAAGATGGTGAGAGAAATCTCTTTTCTTACTGATTTTTAAACGTTATAATAAATTAATTTCTAGTTTAAACTGCATCACAAGTTAGACACCAGTGGTTAGAAAACAACTTCATTTGTTTTGAGCTTTACCACGACACGAAAATATTTAAATGGACGGGGATTACATTGCTCAAAGTTTTTAGGCACTGATGTTTACAGTGTTTTTTTTATTCTTTTCAAGAAAAACAGACTGTGTTTTACTTACATAGGACTGAAGTAATAGCTAGCCTCTTCGCAGACTTAATATACTCTTTCACCCGATCAGCTTAAATTAGTTTTGCTTTCACTGCTACTCTAATTACCGGAGGGCGTTGAGGCTAACGGTGGATAGGTATGTATAATGCATATTTAAACCACTGCTGATAACAGATTCATAATCTCACTTATTGACCTAACTTTGTAGGTCTTGAATGGTGTTTTTGTACTACGACCTAGCATTACGTATGCCTAGTCATCGCCTTCCTCGACGGGCAATGTTAGCTGATATAGGGTCAGGATGGAAAAGAGCTGGCGGCGGTCAAACCAAAACATGGCACCAGTCAATGAAATCTACAACAGTTAGTCTAGGCCACGTAGAAAGGTGTCGACTTCCTGGTTGGGATCCTCAAGACGGTAAAAACCAATGGCTGGCGACAATTGGCGATATGGCTTAAAATCGTTCTCAATAGTGCAGATGCATCCACTCCTTGTGACTTATGATTTCAAATGAAACTACATCGTTCTTCGTTATTACTATTCCTTTGTTTCACACCTCTGTTTACTGTCTCTAATATGCATTTCTTCTACTTTCTTCTCTTGCTTTGTGTGCTCCATGGAGTGTGGCGACTTGAACTGCCACACATCGGTGCAAAGTTCTATGTCGAAAACCGACCGACGACCTAGCATTACTGTTTGGCATAAAGTGAGTATTGCTGAGTGGTGGAAAACTAGGGTGAAGTAGTAGCTATGTAATACGCTTTGGTTTTCAGTGTTTCTTTGGATGACTTGTAGACAGAGGTAAACTTATTTTGGATTGTCTGCTTTTTTTCATCACTCTCATTTTCAGCATTGATGTTCTATTGTTATATTTCAGAAATAACTGCATTTTTTTCTGCATGAAGATCCCAGAATAACTTGTAATTAAGGCCAATTACACACATTCCGTTTACAGATGTACGGGTTCATGACATTTCAACCGTGTGTGAAAACCTTTAACACTAGCTGCACACCACCAAAACGTAAGACAGCATTTTTGAAAAAAAAAAGAATTTGAAAACTTTTTCCAACAGCAGTACGAATTCGTTCTAATGATTTTAGCCTTCATTCCACTACTGTGTATAACTTAAACGTGAAATTGTGAATATCTGAAGGTTAGAAAACTAACACAAAAGAAAATACAAGTTAACGCACTCCAATAGTTAAACACTATTAGTTGGTTAGTTTGTTGTTTTAGTTAACAAATGAACTGGCTGCAAAGTTATTTCTACTTACTGTGAATATCAGTTGGGAAATTTTTTTTTACTGTACTCTGGTAATAAATATCCAAAAAACTATAGAATATTCATTTAGGCGTAGTGAACACCATACATTCTTAACGGTGGGTGTAAATGTGTAGCTCTGAGTATTTGATAACTACTCTTTCATTTAGTAGTAGTAGTAGTAATAGTAGTATAACAACAGAAGGCAAGAGACGGAAGCCACAGTATATTTTCCATTGATCGAACCGCTGTTTATATATCTACAGTTTATATTCGTTAACCAATCACTGAGTGTGTGATTTCGGTTTACGTCAAACGACATGAGATAGAATGTTCTGTGGGAATATGTGAGAATAATATTCCGTTGCCACACATTGTCTGTACCACACCACCACACTCATCTCCTCGTCAAAAACCTTCCACCGAAGTCGGTTTGATATTCTTGGTGCTAGCGGCTTTGTTAGCTTGTCTTGCTGTATCGAGTTCCGGAGCTCGCTGACGTTCACCCGCTCCTCTTTGTTTGCATTTCTGATCGTATATACGTGACCCCGTCTCACGGTGACCATGTATGGTCCTTCCCACTTTGGGAGCAGTTTGCATGACCCTGGCTCGTATTCATCGGTTTTTCGCCTCACACTATCATATGCTGTCCTCGTCCGACCTCCCAGCAGCGTCACAAGTAACAGCTTTATCGCTGAAGTATCTTGAACGCCACGCAACTGTGCAACAGTCTTGAATTCCTGCCCGAAGATCCATATATCTCCATCAAAAACTGCAGGGCATAGGCTTTTTGTTTATCGGCAGGCAGCGACACCAAATGTAACAGCAGAAGGTAAGACACGGAAGCCAAAGTTCATTTTTTATTGATCAAACCTCTGTTTATATATATAGTTTATATTCTTTAACCAATCACTGAGTTTGTAATTTCCGTTTACATCAAACAATATTAAATAGAATGTTCAAATATACATAATATTCTTTTGTTAAGGAAGTATATAACCGTGGGAAATGTATTCTGTATCTAACATCAAATACTATGTTCAAATGCATATATCGTAATCTGTTGCTAATGCCAAATTGAAGTGTTGGAATATGTGAAAATAATATTTCGTTGGCACACATTGTCTGTATCAGTAGTAGTAGTAGTAGCAGTAGTCATTCTGAAGGAGTAAATTAACCCGATGACGGAATTTTATGATCTAAATATCAACTCGAATATCAAACAATGATTAAGCATTGTCTTGAACTATAAATTCTTACCACTATTAAAGCAGATCCACAGGACTTATTATCAGAAGGAACAATATGCAAATTTCTAACACTAATGTCAAGTCATCGCTTCTGTGTAGTTCATACACTTGACTGGCATACCACCAGCAAAAGCATTTCCAACAGACTGTTGTAGGCTTTCATCAACACACGGTTTAAGTAGACGCTAAAGATTAGATATAGCTGGCCGGAAAAGATAAACAGCAAGGAACTATGGCAGGTGGCGAACCAACCAACAACCTGTTGTCCAACGAATAGGCAGAAGGAAATGAAGGTAGACGGATTGGACATACTTCGCAATTTACACAGTTCGAGGAGGTGAAATTTCACCGTAGTTTTCTTTGAAATCAATTATTGATCACAGCAGGTGGTCTGTTTTTATATGATAAATGGTAATCAAGAAAGCAAGCAGGAATGTGCAAACCTAAATACTACTATACTACTATTTTACTATCAGTAGTATGGAGTTTTACGTATTCATGCGTTGGACATACGCCAAGGAGACATTCGCGTGTCATCGAACGCCCAATCGCCGTGTAGGTAACATGGTGGGTGACGAGAACGATTGTAGGCGATTGTGGAGCCAGTTGAAAGTGATGGTGGGCGACCGAGTGGAATGAAGATGTGCAACTGAGGTCTTATATTCCACTCAGAATGCAAAGAACGAATAATAATTATATGAAATAAAGACAAACATGTTGTTAATTCTTTGCCATTTAGGTTTTGTGCATTTCAGCGCTAGTCCCTGAGACATATCTCTGTAATCACAGTAAATCTAGTGGTTGTTTAGAGATTTCAATCATTGTTTTACAGTGCCACTTTTAAAGGTGTTAAAACTGAAACAAACTAACCACGGTTAAGTTCCTCATACAAATAAATAAGATACATTGATCAGTATTCAGGTACGGGGATATGGTTCATCGAATATAAGCAACGCATGACAAATAGGTCAAAATATCCATTCCCCTGAATTCACAAACCAGATTGTACTATCTCCTCTATTAGGATCACATTACATAAATCTAGAAATATTCAATTAATAAAGGAATAAAAAACAAACAGACGATATCTGGAAAAAATAATACACTGGCTGAAAATGGAATAAAGGAAATTTTCCCTTTAGAGTGTAAATCATGTTTTACGAAATCACTTACTTTTATTATTCGCAATCCCACTGGTAGAATTCATACCCATAACACCTCCACCTCCACCACGTCTCCTGCGATAAGATGGGAATGTGGTTGGTGGGTATGAAGAAGAATAGGAAGAAGAAAAAGCATTTAGACCTGAGGTAGTACGCCCATTATCTCCAGTAGAAGTGGTGACAGTGGTAACAGTAGTGGTAGTAGGGCTGACAGTATGAGTAGTTGCAGTAGTGGTAGAGTTAGCAGGAATAGTTGTCTTTGTTCGGCCACTAGTACTGTTGTTGGTAGAGACAGTGGTGGGGACGGTAGTAGTAGGAATAGAAGTAGTAGTAGTAGCAGCAGCAGTGTTACTAGGACTAGACTTAGGAGGATCTGAATTTGTCATACTACCATTCAGTACAGGGCTATTTTCCATTGATAAGTGATTTTTAGTGTTAAGATGTTTAACATCAGTTATACTTGATGATGAATCAGCAACTATCATTGAAGCGGAAGTAGTAGTAGTGGTGGTACAGTAGGATCCAACTAAATAAAATTTATTTTAAAACATAAAAAAGCACACAGAAAGATTATTCAATTGATAAAGAAATTCATTAGTATTAAGAAGTAGTTTTCAAGATGAACCGGAATCAATAAAAAGATGAAGCGAAAAACACGGAATCTAAATTAGTTCTTTCTAGCTAAACAGTGTGACATCAAGGTTATCATTACACTTCGTGAACACATTCCCTTAAAATTGAAGTTCACTAGTGCAGTAACACAATTCCACCTCCCCGAAAATACATATTCCAAGTAAGAATCAACCTAATAGTGCATTCAGGATTGATTTGTCAAAGTTCTAGTTAGAATCCGTGACCGGTGAAGATAACCAGAGATTAGGCCTGGAAACGGTAACATATTAATGGGATTTAGTGGTTACACTGCAGATCATCGGATTATTAACATACTGCAAAACCTACTGAGCTCTCAAACAGGGCAAGGATGCGAATTACTGAGGAGAAAAGTGTGAAATCATAGAGAAAAGCGACCAAGGAGCGCGAACGCACTAGTGGCCTTGAGAAGACCAATGATAAAAAGCCGTTTATTTAGAAGAAAAATACAGATGATGATGATGATGATGATGACAATAGTAATGAAACGCATTAGAGGTGAAGCATTCATCACCTTGTCATCTCTGGACATCGAGCACCCCCACATGAATGCTTCACAGTGTTACACAGAGTCCCTCAATATCGTACAAAGGGACTTCGGTTACGCCATCTGCACATAGCTGAAGCATTAGCTATTCGAGATCTGAAACCAAACCTCTGCATCCAAAAGCGATACATACATTCTCTCGCCTTACCATGGCCAGAGTAAAGTTCTCACCACAATTTTGCTTCTTTCCTTTATTATGTAAGTTCACTATTATTACTATTATTATTATTATTATATTTTATTAATACTTTTATTATCATTATTGTCCCCATCATCCACATTTTATTACCACTCTATTGCTGCTCATTAATAACATTGCTTTTCATACATATTTTACACAAAAACACTTTATAGCCTTTCTACTAGTTCCTGTCCATTTTACACGAGCTTATTGATTATTCATTATCTCACACTTATCACCTCATGCCAACTTCTGTCTCCTTTCTAACTTACAATTAGTCATCCCTTCTTACACCTTACATTATGTAATACAATTTTCCAAGGACAAAATTTACCAGTATCTGATTGGTCTACAGATTTCTTTGTTAACTATAATTACGATTGTACAGCTCATGAAAATGAATCGTCGAAAAGAAAATTTTCTTCGCTGTTTGTGCCTTTTACTTTAGAATTAATCTATCCTTTAAAACTCTTTTAGGTAAATTGACTGTGTTTGATTAATTAAGTATATAGAAAAGAAAATGATTTTAAATTCACAAATTACACTTAATCATCGATATACTTACTGTTTACTTTTCAACTTCCATATTAGTTTGTTTATTAGATGTATCACACAGTGAAACAGTATTATTTACTAGATGACGTTTCGAACAAAATTTATTGTTCATAATCTTATCAATTATAATCATACAACTTCGAAACTTGAGTTTTATAGTTTTCTTTGTCTTCTCCTATTTGTCGTCGTTAGGGTAGTAGAATTTTCCAGATATCTGGGACAGATGTTGAATCATCTCTATTACACGTGTTTGTAGTTGATTCGATAAACAAAGCTTCTGTTATCAATCTCTCCCTATACCCTGTGACATTAGATTTTAAAACTGTCATCCTATCCCATCCTATTGTATGGTTGTGTGTAATTGCATGTAGTGCTGTAGTTGAACTATTCTTTAGATTTCTTATCTTATTCGGGTCAACTAATCTAGATTTTGCTAGGTTTTTATGCTCGGCTACTCTGACTGCCCCTGTTCTATTAGTTTGACCTGACAATCATTGCTGGGTATTAGATAAACGAAATCGTTTTGTTTTAACGGCTCCACAGGATTCTTTAACCAACAAAGCTTGTTTCTAATTGAGTTTGTGGGTTTGAATGCCACTTTTATTCCTGTCAGCATTGTTAAGAATTCTGCGTAAGGTTTCCGAGGTTCCTTCCTTGTATGTAATTACTACTGATGATTTAGATTCCTTATTGTTGATGCTATCTTGCGCACATTTGAATTGCATGTCGTCACTAATATTATTATTATCACTATCACTACTATCATTATTTATTTTATTTTTACATTTTAATCAACTGAAATCTGATGCTTGCTAGTGACTTGCTACAGGACGGAGTTTCCTGGAGTTATAGTGAGAAGTCGTGACCTGTGAGGTTTAACCAGTCAAGTGTGAGAATGGATTTCCCAATGATGACATTGGTTGGTGGTCGCGCTAAATCACGAATTGGCAGAATTTAGAATTCATGAGCCATTGAATCAGGTCCTAGTGGCTGAATGGTATACGAGATTGCCTTGTAACCGGAAGGTCCTGAGTTCGAACACCTGTGGCGGGTGCGTGCTGCTGATGATTACCAAACTAGGATGAAACCGCTCTCCAGTACTCCCTGATTTTTAATGGTTCACTAACTGATATCAATCCGTGGTCAAACCCATAAAAACAAATCTAATCCTTACAAACGAACTCTTGAAAAATAATACAAATGTTTCATTTGATGATAAACTGGTCTGAAATTCTTCAGGAAGATATTATCGAAGAATATAATATCTTAGAAATAATGAAGAAGATTTTTATCTCACATGAATGTTTTTTTTGGTACTATTATATCCTGTGAGCTATATAACTTAGTTGAGATTGCTTTCATCATTATCCATATAGACGGCATTTTCAAATCCTTGCAATTACCCATGAATAAAATAAACATCTTTCCTGATGAATTCTAACATCAATAGCAGTTCCTATAGATAGTCTTACAAATCAATTCACCTGTATTCATCATATTGATTATTTCGGGAAAATCTCAAGGGTAATCATATCGCAATCAAGATAATCAACAAAGAACCATTTTATTTTAAAGTTAGAAAGAAAAGCAATGACATTTTCAGAATTAAACTGTCCGACTCAAAGAACGTAACATCATCCTGAGAATTTAGTGTACAGCCTTTTATGTTCCTTCCGAATACATGAGTACCATCGAAGCCTTGAATTCTCAACACACAGTGACACTATGATTGGCAGACGCTCAATGAAGATATCTACGGATAATGTTGTGAAGAAGGCGAATATGACAACATTGGATGCACCTCCAGGAAGGCAGCAAGTCCCTTTTTTCACCATGTTCAGGTCGTAGTTAATGATGATATTACGTCTAACTTTAGACTAGCCATAGATAAGTTTAGACAAAAAATGGAAAGGGGATTTCGTGAGCTCTAGGCTCAACAGAAAGCTAAAATGCGATTCTTACAAAGAGGGATGGGCCTGTTAAACCTGCTCTATGATGATGAGAGATTGTAAGATCCTGTAATTCAGACAGCGCCGTCTTTAATACATACTTTCAGTTCACGAATAAACGCCTCTAAAGAAGTGAAGAACGTTTCCATACCCAGTTCACGTTCAGTTAAAGAACTGAGGGAAGAAGTCTTGAAAGCGTTTAAACTGTCATCGGAAAGGTTAATAATCCTTATTTTCGAATGAAAGGTTCTTAAGGATGAAGACACTATAAAATAGCTCAGGATTAAGGGTAACTTCAATATTCACTTGGGGATTTTGGGACAAAAGTAACCTCCACAGGTGGAAGAAACTGGTACATCTTCAGTAGTTAGAAATGTGAGGGGAACTCCGAGAGAAAGCTGGAGTAAATACTTTTTCTGGTATGCATCAGGCTATGCAGGCTAAACTGATGCAGAAGCCTAAACTTCGAAATATGCTAGATGGCCCAAATATAATGATTCCAAACTTCAAGGGTAATCTTGGTAGTTTACGGAAGTTGTTCCCAACCGGTATTGCTTGTCGGAAAAGAAAAGCGTACTTATAGTTTCCTTCACTGGAGACGATACAGGAGGCCGTCTCGAAGCCTAAATTTCTTGATGGCATAAAACTGGCACTATCACTTCTGGGTTGACCAGGACTTAAAACAGCTCTCACTTTAGATTTAATAGCCTACTTAAACGACTCAGAAATCGAAACATTACTCGATGCTGTGGTTTCACTTTCGCGCAATATATTGAAAAATAATCAGTTTTTTACAGTAACTCTTTGCAGCGTTTTGAGACTGTGTGTGTTTGTGTGTCAAGAGTGCCTTGTCAGAGGTTCGCAGTGGTCAGGCCACCACAAGTCGATTTTGGTTGTAACGGTTGAACCCACATTCACTGCATAAGAAGCTATCATATTCTGAGAGATATTTAGACTGTGAATCATGGTCATGGTCAAAATACGACCTATAAGTTCAGTTGAACAATAATTTATATATATATAATCAGATATTACTAGTGTTTTGCATCATTATTGTTTGTATTTTATTCGATTAAATGATTATCAAATTTTTTGTCATCTGTATAAACAGAACCAACAATTAATTGTTAGTTAGATTCCAATCAGGAAAAAAAAAACAGTTGTTAACTGGATTAGACTGAAACACAGGCTCGTTTACACACAATCTGTTAATAGTTTTTGTTGTTATTGTTGTGTTTTTTTTTCACCAACATGTACAATACAACACAAAACAAAAGTTTTTTTAAAAAAAAAGATAAACAAGCGTTTTACTATCGATTTCGCATTATTACTATTTCTCAGAGTCTCTATCTCACTGTATTACGCATGATATGATGCAGAGGAGAATTCAATAATAATTCAAGTATATAGACCGGATAACTCTTTTTTTATTTCACTTTCATAATCGATGACTTTACTCACACACACACACACACACCGTATATGAGAAACTGAGTTCATGACGGCCAACTGTAAGACCCCTGTCAGTTATGAAATAAAGCCTTAAATTCCTTTCATTTAAGTTTGACCACAGATTGATATCATACAGAGAACTACTATTGAAATCCTGGTAGATGCGTGCCGATGAAGAGTTCCAAACTAGGACGAAACAACTGACCAGTACTCCTTGATGGTTTTTCAGTGGTTCTCTAAATGATATCAATCCATGGTCAAGCTTGAAACAAATCAAATCTGATGCTCGCTTGTGACTGTCTACAGGAGAAAGTTGCCAGGAGCTCTAGTGAGAGGTCATGGACCAGTGGAGTCCACCATGTCGGGAGTGAGGAGAATACTCACCAAAGATAGTGTGGCTGATGCCAGTCTCTCTAAAGTCACGAATTGATAGAAGTTAGAATTCATGGGTCGTTGAGTCAAGAGTCCCAGTGGCTGAATGCTCTATGAACTGGCCTTGTAACAAGAAGGTCGTGGGTTCGGACCCGCGTAAGTACTACCAAAGAGTCCCAAATTAGGACGAAACAGCTGACCAGTACTCCTTGATGGTGTTTCAGTGGTTCTCTAAATGATATCGATTCATGGTTAAACTTAAAACAAATCAAAAGACACTAACTCTTTTCACTTACTAGCTATGATGCATATATATGTAGAAAAAGTTTTGTACTGTCAAATTTTTTGGTGTCATCTAAACAACAGACTGTGAACTAAAACATTTTGAGATAATATTATGAGAGTACTGTCAACTTTTTAATCTCACTCATTTAATCAACCATCCATGTATGTATTTGTCCAGGTTGTTCTAGATGACTGATTTTCTAGTGTACGGTGGAAGTAAATACACTTACTGAAGATTAACTGATTGATCACTTATTCTTCCTAAATTACAATGACCAGATCTACCATGTAATATATATCAAGCAGCTTAAAAAATAACTTGTTCACCGCCACAGAACACTTTCAACAGATGTTATTTGAATGCTTCACATCTAAAGGTGACTGTAGTGCACATAACTCAGTTATATAGACAGCTCATAACCTCCCTATTGGATTATACAGGTTTGCACTATTGAGATCCTCTTAACTACACCTTACTAAAAAAAAAGTGCCGAAAAGTAGTGCATGTAGCCGCTGTCATCACTAAGGGCTTCTATCCACTGCTTTAAACTATTCAATTATTATTATTATTCCCTTGGGTTCCTAGTGGAACATAGGGCTTCAACTGCACGTCTCCACTTGTTTCTGTCTTCTGCTGTACTTTCCACCTGCATCCATGTTAGTCCATACTGTTTCAACTCCTCTTCACACGATCTCCTCCATGTCACCCTTGGACGTCCCATTCGCCGCTTCCCTTTCAGGTTCCACTCGAGGGCCTGACGCACGATGTCACCCAGCGGCCTCCTCAGCGAGTGTCCAATCCATCTCCACTTTTCTCCTGCATATTTGTTGGGCGATTGGTTCTTGTTTTGTTTGTTCCCATAGCTTCTTGTTTGTGATTCTTTCCGGCCATCTAATCTTCAGTATAGAACGAAGACAGTTGTTGATAAAGGTCTGCAACAGGCTGTTGGAAATATTCTTTGTGACCCGCCAAGTTTCTGATCCGTATAGAAGAACTGATTGACTTGACGTTTGTATTGAAAATCCAAATTTTGTTGTTGATGCTGAGTGACGAAGATTTCCAGATTGGTTTCAGGTTGATGAATGTGTTTCTCGCCTTCCCGATTCTCGATTTGACATCCTCATCCATTCCTCCTGTAGTTGAGACAATGCTCCCTAGATAAGTGAATGAAGTAACCTCTTTCAAATCCCTCCCGTTGATGGTGATTGTCGCTGGATGTTGCTGCTGCTGTTGTTGTTGTTGGTTGGTTATTTTCATAACCTCCATCTTGTCTATGTTCACCTGGGGTCCTGTCTTTGCTGCTTCTTCGATCAGTTTGTCGGTTTTCGCTTGTAAGTCTTCGATTTTGTGTGACATCAAACACAAATCATCCCGCGAAATCCAGGTCTTCTAGGTTCTTCACGTCGGTTCAGGATATCCCTGGATATTAGATATTCAAATCTAAAAGCCTCAGATCCACCCATCAGCTATATCAAATCATATTTTAAGAGGTGACATATCATTGAGAAATAAGTTTATGAACTGATTATTAAACAACAAAAATAATGATTAGCTAACCTTGTTCACAGTTGATTGAATCATTGTCATCACAATAACCACAAGTGGAAGTTATTGCAGCATCCTCATCATCGTCATCATCTTCATCGTCATCTTCATTGTCATTGTCACCATCATCATCGTCACCGTCATTGTCACTAATCATCATCATCATTTTCACCATTATGCGTAACAATATGAGTATTGTCCTCTTCACTACTCATAGTATGATCAGCAATACTGGATCCATTATTATTATTACATTTTATTGCTTTCTTTTTCGGTAAAGTACACAATTGTTTATGACAGACACCATTAGTGTTCTTGTAACCATTTGTTTGATTAGATGAGCACTAAGTGAAGTAGATTTAATGAAATAGATGAATATATGAGAATTGTGGAATAAGAGAACAAACAGAATAATATATATATACATATATATGAGAAAATTTCTATGATTAGCACTGAGTCTCATTTGTATAACACCAGTGTGTGTAACACGCTTTATTGCCGTAATGTTTTACTACATGTACTAACAAATTAAACCGTTTAATTTACTGTGAACGAACGAAGTAATTATTAACGCTGAGATAGTGATATTTTTACTGTTTCACTGCATCCACATTCAAGTCAGACTAAGATATTATACACATCATTTTGAGAAACTAGCTGCACACAAATATACTTGACAGTAAACCACACCTACCATATGTGAGTCATCCAGTTCACGGTAGGTAGATAGATAGATAGATAGGTAGGTAGGTAGAGTGAAGTTTACATCCCTGTACAGAAAAGACCTCAGCCTATGAGGTCTCACACTGATTGTGTGAGAACTGATCGCACGATTCTATTGCTTAAGCTGAAGTAGGGTAGAACAAGAGAACGGTAGGATGCAGGAGCCATTTGGCTAAAGGTCGAATGCTTATGACAATGAGCCACACATCTTTACTCAAAACCAGTAAAAACTTGTCCACCACAACAAAAAGCACGTCTTATCATGGAAATATACATGTATGAGTGAAAATTGACATGCGTACAGTACGTTTACTTTAGATAACTGATAGTACACAAAAAGTATATTCATGATAAATAATTAAAATATTTCTCGAATTAGATTAAAATACAGTCTTTTGATAAGTATGTCTCTTAGAGTATTAATAATAATATAATAATATATTAATATTAATGATGTAATAATATATTAATGAACTTAACTGAATGAAAATAAGTCACTTAACTTTCGAGTCCCTTCACAAAACTAGATTTTCTTCTAATATTCAGAATTTCTACCAGGTAACAATTAACAATTAGGCACATCACAACAAGTTACTTATTATGACTATAAAAACACTCGTCTTATTTCCCAACTGATTGTAATTGATCAATAACACTCATATTATTATTACCTCTGAATGTACATTATCTCATATTGATTTTTATTCAAATATCTAGTCAATTCCATACATATATATATATATATATATATATATATATATATATAAATGAAGGAAAAAGTTGTGTGAGTAATGCCTTGATATGATTATGAGCAATAGTTTATGCTCGAAACGTCATCAGTTAATATTACTGTACAACACTGTGTGATTTATCAAAATAAACTCTTATCCATAATGGAGTTATACTCTACCACAGTGCCCAAGTTTTATACTTATATCAATGATGTCAGTTTTCCCCACTAATTTGTATTACATACACCATCTTCTGTGTAATGCATAAAGCTGACTGATGAAGTGTGAAACACAAGGAATAACTGTCGGATAGGGGAGGTTAAGGAGTGAGTGAATCGGTCGGTGATCGAGCCGCAGACTCGCATACGTGGTCAGCGAGTATTCTAACGCTGAACCACCTTGCACACCTAAAAAATACACAAGTTTCATTTGATGTAAATGCTTTTTTTCCTTTCAGTTGAAAAATATTTTATTTTTAAAGAATTAAATTAATTCAGGGCAATTAAATGAAAGCACGCAAAGAGAAGAAAGTACGGTAGTTGAGAGAAAAATGATAGGGTTAATTCATTGGCTTAGTTCCAATATCTTATTCATCAGTAAGTATGTTCACAGTTTTGCCCACTCTTCAGAAAATAAATACTACACAAACAAACAAAAATACAATTTGTGTAATCATTAAATGAAGACAAAAACAAGTGAACATCGTGTGCAAAAAAAGAGCCCTGGTGAAAAATCCTAGATTAAAATACACAGACACAAACCAACGAACATGCAGCACAGTTAATGAATTTTTGATTGAAACATTAACAACAGAAGGGAATATTTGTGCAGAATATATTTCCCTTTTTTTTCCAACAGTTTACACACGCACACACACGTGTGCGAGAATTTGTGTGCCCACAGATGGAAGACAAGCCCATCCAGGACTTAGATTAATAATGTATCAAATACTATTGAAAGAGAATAACAATTATACACGTATAACAGAAAAAAGAAGGATAAGTGGATCTTGTAAAATTGGAAATTGTAATTTTGATGGAATTGTGTGTTCTGTGCGTGTGTGAGTTTGTCTGTGTGTGTAAGGGGGGGGGGGTCGTACGAGGGAGGGAAGAGGAATATTAACTGTGTTACTACTAATGACTGTTAATTAACATGCATATTCAGAGTAAGGAAAGATTTTACATAATCGAATAAAAAGTGAGGAGAAAAAACAATGAAAGGAGATTTATAGAAGAATAGAGAATACAGAAGGTAGAGAAATGACCAGTATCCAAAATATCGAATAAAAAACAGTTTGTTTCTCTCAACAACAAAGTCTGTACAGAACAATGATGTGCTTTCTTGCAAAAGTGTGAGTGTGTGAGAGAGAAAGAGGTAGATACAGAACAATAAAGAAGGAAAAAACAAGAATGAAATGCAATTAATTCATTCAACTCTGTAGTAAAAATAAAACTATCGAAACATCATCAAAAATTTTGCAACAACAAAGGCACAATCATCCAAAAATCAACGATTAATAACATCAACTGGTTATTATTATTATTTCCTTCAGTTCCTAGAGGAACATAGGGCTTCAGCCATGCGTCTCCATTGCGTTCGGTTCTCTGCTACAGTCTTCACCTGGCTCCAAGTCTGCCCATACGCTTTCAATTCTTCTTCACATGATGTCCTCCAGGTCACCCTTGGACGACCAACTCGCCGCTTCCCTTTCAGGTTCCACTCGAGCAATGGCTTGTCTAGTGATGTCACTTGCTGGTTTCCTCAGAGTGTGGCCAATCCATCTCCATTTCTTCCTGCCTATTTGTGTCACAATCGGTTCCTGGTTGGTTCGCTCCCAGAGATCTTTGTTGCTGATCCTTTCCGGCCATCTGATCTTGAGTATTGAGCGAAGACATCTGTTAATGAAGGTCTGTAGCTTGTTTGAGGTGCTCAACTGGTTACATAATCTCAAAAGATAGCACTCACTGGCTAAAGCAACTTTTATGCAAATTATTAATTTTACTGCAGGATATTAAGAGACAGTCAGAGGAAATTCAAAACACCACCTAGATATTGTGCTGGCTAACAAAACACAACCCCCTTCGGGCAACTTAATTTTCCCATTATACCAACACCCTAACCCACCCAACTGCCTCACACAGATTTGGAGACTTTTCAACAGGCTGCTTTGACTAAGACTTACTCTTTGTAGTAACATACTATTTATGTAAATTGCAAACTGAATAAAAATCAATGTACGCTATTTGCTGCCTTAAAGGCTGACCGAAATCTATTAACAAAATATGAAATGTGATCATCACTAGGGTGTAATATGACACTGAAATATAATTTTGATTCAGTAATAAACGTTAGAATTTGGTCAACAGATGGAAGATTACTCACCGCTTCCTATGAATGCCCTTATGTGTGAAATAATAATAATAATCACAGGCTTAGAATGTTTATTTAATTCACATTAATGAAATAATTTGTTTTGACCTGAAAAAAGACCGTGTTCCAAAGCAAAAATAACTATTTCTGCATGGTGGTAAATAGTATGATGAAGTGTTAAGTGAAGGCTTGAGAACAATTTCATATGGGCATACCGTGAAATAGACTCTAGGCATAGAGCTTTAAAAACAAACACAATATACAAAAAGGTAATAGAGGGTAATTAGTAATAAGCAGGAATTTCGTCCCACCGATGTTTCATACCTCTTAACCATAATTAGCGCCTTAGTAACTACACCACAGCAGGAGATTTTTAAGTTTTCAAAAAGCAAAAGAAACCAACTTCACCTGTTATGCCAATTTTGACCACGCATTGACGTCAGTTAGAGAACCACTGAAAGCCAGGGAGTACTGGACAACTGTTTCATCCTAGTTTGGGACTCACCAGGAGTACGCATCGAGTGGCGTTCGAACCCAGGAATTTACTGCTACAAGGTAAGCTCACACACCATTTGGCCAGCTGAGTGGGTGCGTACTGACGATGAGTCCCAAACTAGGACAAAACGGTTGTCCACTACTCCCTGGCTTTCAATGATTCTCAAACTGATGTCAATTGTGATCAAGCTTGAAAGCAAACATATCCCTAAAAACTAACTCATATATTAAAATTATTTTGAACTTCTCGTTAATTAGTTTAACTAAGCTAAAATACCCACTCTCTGTTGACACATAGACATACTGTAAAAGGGAAATTTAAAATAATTTCAATAAATAAAAACCAGTACTCATCGGACAAAAGGTGACTTTCAAGGCTCGGCTGACCAATGGATAACTTTTAGATGTTTGAAATGACGGGTGTTGGGTTCAAACTTCGATGGGAACACCACTTACTTGGATGTAGATACATCCGGCAGATAAGTCTTTACATGGGACGGAACGTGAATACTGGATCCCATTGAAGGTGAGGAAAGGTGTGTACGTTTACACCATTGTGAGTGATTTACAGCCTGTGGTCAACCACGGAATTTAAATTTCCCTTCACGACTCAGGCCAACAGTCAACGAACGTACAAATTGGTTACATGCTTTTTTTTTACCATATTTATTCACTTCATTTGATATCTTTAAACTAGGAATCGGTGCAAAACTGCCACATAACATGATCCTATACTTGACTGGAAAAAAAATGGCATGCTAGGTGTGCGCAAAGTTTTGCATATCTTTACTTCAAAAAAGCCTTTCATAAGCTCTTTTATTGCTGAGTGAGTTTCAGTGAATACTTTCTTAATATCTGTTTTCGACGTAGAACTTTGCACCGACGTGTGGCAGTTCAAGTCGCCACACTCTATGTAACACACAAAGCAAGAGAAGAAAGTAGAAGAAATGCATATTAGAGACAGTAAACAGAGGTGTGAAACAAAGGAATAGTAATAATGAAGAACGATATAGTTTCATTTG